ATATATATATATTATATATATATGTGTATATATATTTAATTAGGAGCTCTGGTGGCATAGTGCTTAAGGCATTTGACTGCTAACCAGAAGGGTGGTGGTTCAAGCTCAGCAGGCACTCCTCAGAAGAAAGATTGGGAAATCTACTTCTGTAGAGAAACCCAAGGAGGGGTCACTATGAGTCAGATGCGACTTGATGTCAGTGAGGTTTTTTTTTGGTATATATTTAATTATATATTTCACACACACACACACACACACACATATTTAATATAGTATATGTTTAATAATTCTGATTATTCTTTTTGTCTCCCTTAGGTGGTTTTTTGCATCTTCATTGTTTCATCTAAACCCTGGAAATTTGAACTCAATATGCTGAAGAAAGAGTGCAAAGATGCCTAATTGTCTTCTAGTACATTCTGCCATTCTTCTTTGCGTTTTAAAGAAGCAAAGATACCTTTGAAAATAAGTTGACCCATTTCCTTCATTTTTGTGGTCATTTGCTATTTTGTGTGTTCTTCAGGGCTGATGCTGGGAATGTGTGTTGTCTTGCATAACATTGGGCGGCTCTTCTAATTGGGTAATTTATGTAAGAACATAGACTTTCTGCTATTGAAAAACTGAAAAAAAGTATGAACCTGTTTCCACAAATCACAAAATGAGTATATGTTCTCATTCACTTTTTGCATAGTAACCGGGAAGACTGAGCCCTCAATTGCTTTAAGTCAATGGGTGTTTTATGAAAGATCCCAAGGCCTGGTTGCCTTGAATGTTTTCTTCCCTGGATTTTAGAGAAAACTCTTTGCCCAGGAAGACATAGCCCAATAGTGTAGGAAGTTTTAGTTTTAAATATTGGATCCACCTAGTGAGACAGTTCTTAATTTAGGTTATTTGGAAATTTGTGTGGTACTTTGGCAGAGAATATGCAAAATGACGATTCATGGAGAGTAAGCTGCATTTGTGCATGTGTGTGTATGTATGTGTGTGTGGTGTATGTATATGTATGGTTTGTTTATATGTGTAAATGAGTGCATATATCTCTGTGTGTGGTATGTGTATATGTATGTGTGCAGTATGTATGTGTGTATATGTGAGTGTGTATACATGTGTGTGGCATGTGCATGTCTGAGAATGAATGTTAGTGTATGTGTATATATGTGTGCATGAGTGTGTGTGCTTATGTGTGTGTACATGAGAGCATGCATGTGCATAAATGTGTGTTCACAGTGAGTATTTTAACTATTTAATGCTGCATGACAATCTACTCCATCATGTAGTGTCTTAAAGCAACAGTGATTATATCTCATAGTCTTGTGGGTTAGGAAGTTGGGGAATGTGTCTGGGGCCAATAGTCGTCTGAAGCTTGACTTGTTCTAGACATGACTGGCAAGTTGGTGTAGGCTGTTAAAGGGAGATCTCTGTTCTTCTCCACATGAACCCTCCACAAGGCTGCTTGAGTGCTTCATATGGTGGCTGGCTTCCTCCAGACAGAGTGTTCCAAGAGACAAAGATGGAAGCCACAATGTCTCTTGTGACTTAGCCTTTGAAATCACACACCATCACTTTTTCCAGACCAGCCTTAATATGGGAGGAAATAATATAAGGATGTGAAGACCAGGAGATGAAGTCCATTGGAGGATATCTTGAAGGTGGTCACCACAGTATGTGTGTCTATGTATGTGTGTGTGAGTATGTGTGTATGTTTGTGTGTAGATCTATGCATGTGTGTATGTCTATGTATTATGTGACTATGTTTGAGTGTGTACATGTGGGTATATATGCACATGTGGAATGAGATGATGAAGGATAACATGACCAGAAAGGAGGCACTCTCCCAAGTCTGGATGTGGAAACAATAGGACTGGTGTGCATGCAGAGGCTGGCAGTGAAATGTCAACAATAACACAACAATCATGTTCTAGCTTACTCATGAGAGATGTGTTCTGGTTACCTAGTGCCACTCTGACAGAAATATACCACAAATGGGATGGCTTGAACAAACAGGAGTTTATTC